AAAATTAAAAACAATAGGTAGCTCCTTAACATGCCAATTCTTTAGCTCTGTACCAGAAGTAGGATATGCCCATGGATAACCTAAATCTTCATTCACCTCTTCACCCACCATATGTATTGAAAATTCAGTGAAAATATCCTCCAATGATGGTGTAAGCCTCTTCTTTATCTTTCTTGATACATTTGGATATATATATCTAGCTGAAATGAAAATTTCATAGAAAGAAGAAAAAGACAAGCATTTAACTTCTACCTTTTGCCCTAAAAAATAAGTCAACCTCTTTTATCTTCTCTCTTCCATGAACTTCGTTCTTTTTTTTTCGAGTAGGCTTGTATCCTAGATCAAATCAGTCATCTTTCTTAGGGATCATCCATGGTCATTTCATCCCTTGTAAGTTAGCTCACACTTGTTATCCTTTTTCTGCTACTTTTTTAAAGGTTATCTTAAAAGCTTTGGATAGAGATAGAATAGGCATCTTTGATTTTTCACCCATATAAGTTGTATTAATGAATTCAAATGATCTAAAAGAATATTTTGGGGATTTCTCAGCTGCTTTAACATATAATGCAGTAATGGTTTAGTCACCAACAAATCTTTTTCACTAGCAATAATGATCACTTTTTCATCAATTATAAATTTTAATTTTGATGTAAAGTGGAAGAGACAGCTCCTACCATGTGAATATGTGGCCTTCCTAAAAGACAACTATAAGAAAGAGCGATATCAATGATCTGAAAGACTATATCAAAAGTATATGGTCCAATTTGAATTGGTAGCTTAATATTGCCAATCACTTCATGGTGAGTCCCATCAAAAGCCCTTATTATCATGTGACTTGTCTTCATGTAAGACATATCGACTAGTAATCTAGATAGTGTAGTCATAGGTATGACATTCAGAGTGGATCCATTATCAATGAGCACTTTGACCAATATATGATTCTTGTATCTTTTGGAGATATGTATGTAGAACCCGAATTTTGTTAGGGTTTACTAGATTAATTTTTGTTTACTAATATTTTTTATACTATTATAAAACATAATAATTAATTTAAAAAAAATAAAAAACAACAAAAAAATAAAAACAGAACCAAAAAAATTGGGATGGCAGTGGTGCCTTGCACGGCACTACTGGCCACCCACCCCTGGCTTGTCCCTTACCATAGCCTGCACCTCACCAGCTTTGACTGCCCAGAACCACCAACCATACCTTACCAGGCGTACGCTCAACTTGCTACCACCATCCTAGCCCTATAAAGCACCAGATTTCCTTCCTTTCGGTCTCTCTAGAAGCTCTCGGATCGAGCACCCATTTGGCCACCACTAGAATCCCTATACTCAGAAGAACCCCCAAGCATCAGTCACCCAAACCCTAGAGCCTCTGCCTATATCCAAACATAAAAAAAAAAACCCTCGGTCTCTGTACCCTAATCCGAGCCTCAAACCCATACCCAAATACTCAAACAGAAACACACAAACAAAAAAAAAAAAACAAAGACAAACAGTCCTCTTCGTAAGGAGGAACCCAACACCAAACAAGGTACCTGCAACAAAAAAATAATATCAGTTTTGGTTTTACAAAAAAAAAAAAAGATCAAAACTTTGAGCCTCGATCTACATCGATCGAGGTTATTTTCGATGAAAAGAAGTCCGGATCTAGAAAGATTTTGTTGAAAGGAGCTTCTAGAAGTTTTTGGTGCTTTCAACCATCGATGACAACCGTCGGCGGTGACCCAGACGGTGGCTTGCACGAGGGTCTAGGGACCGAACGGCAAGAGAGCTCTGCAGCTCTCCTTTTTTTTTTTTTTTAAATAGGGAAAGAGTGAAGTAAAAAAAAATTAGCTTTTATATAAGGTTAAGAAAGCTCAAAATGACACCGTTTTGGGTAGGGAAGATCCACGCGTCAACCCAGATCCGACCCAGGATCCATGCAACCCGACCCACGAACCATTTTCAGCCAGCCTTAAATCGGTCCATACGAACCGCCTGTGAACCGATCGAACCAGTCTGAACCACTGGATTGCTCGAACCGCTGATTAAATAGTCAAATTGATCAGATCGATGTAGACCAACGTTGATCGAACCGTTGACCGATACGGTTCAGGTAAAAAAATTTTTTTTTTAATTTTCTAAATTTTTTTATATATTATATAGAAGTTTTGTATAATGAATTTTCATCTATAAAAAAAAACTAGATTTTTTGTTTCACATGTGCTATTCCAATTGCACCGTGGCATTGACTGAAGGGTGACCTAAGTCCAAACATAAGTTTTCAACTACGAGTGTAAATAATAAATTAGTACTCATAAATTATTCAGGTTCGATTAAAATAAAACTCGAATTTGGCTCAGTTAGTATCGAATCGAGCTCTAGTTCAAGTAACTTGAATTATCGATTGAACTGAGTTCTAGTATTTTTATACCTGACTCGAATTGTTCGCGAACCTAATCTAACTTTTATAATTTAATATATTTTAATTATTTTAATTGATAAAATATATCAAACTCGAGTTCGAGTTTAAGCATAAATAATCGACCTTTTATCAAATATAATAATCGAGTTTATTTTTACATGTTAATTGAGCATAATCGAACGAGTTTGAGTAACTCGATTTCTATATCGAATCGAGATCAAGCTAAAAAAATAAAACTCGATTGAAGTCGACTTAAGTTTCGAATCTCAAATTTAGAATTGAGTTTGAGCTTTAACTTAGTACTATATGGATTCGAACTCAATCGATTACAGCCTATTTTTAACATCAAACCGTTAACTAATCTTAAAGTATGTAAAAAATGCATAATGCCAATTTTGGACTTGGAATTATGCAAAATAGGTCATTGAGCACCTACCATTTTATTTAAATTAATTCGAATCCCAGTGTTATTATTTTTTGTCAATTTAGCTTAAATTGAACAGAAATTATCACATGACTATTAGTTCTAATGGACTTAAAACTTAGAACATGTAGTATTGCCACGTGGAGACTGATAATTCACAGATACATAAATGTGCACATGAAAGCTAACCTGGCAGTCCACTTGTATATCAATGTGCACGAATCAGATGACATGGCATTAGATCCAACGTGGCATTGTTAATTCCATTACCACATTTGGGTTTATTGAGTGCAAGATCATCAAGCTAAACAAAGGACACCCAATATCGATCGAAATTAAAAATTAATAAATATTTAAGTCCTTTTAATCTTGTCTTTATCAAGTCCCATAAATTTCCAAGCAAGAATCATGGTGCAGGATCTTGGATTCCTTGATTTTAAAGCTCGGATCAAAGTGTTTCAGGCTTTAATATCATAGCGTCGAATAGGCTTGCAAGAAAGCCAATGAATCAACCAACATAATAGTGAGAAGTACAAATGTCCACTCCATGGCTTGTTAAAACTGTAATATTAAATTGATTAAGAACAAATTAAAACCCCAAAAGAACAAAAAAAAAAAAATCACCACCAGACGCCAAATCAAAATTTCAAAAGCCTCATTTCCAACACCAACAAGAAATCTTTTTTTTACCAAAAAATCACAACCAGAAAACATATAAAGAACAAATTTAGCCAAGAGAACCAAAAGTCATATCAAAGAAACAAAAAATGCACCAGATTTTGGCCCTAGGCTTTTAGGTTTACGGTTTTTTGGGGGTTTTTGAGAAATCAAAATCGGAGTTAGAAAAAAAATTTTAAACCGAAAAAGGTTAGAGGAGATAAGAAGAGTTGAAGGTAATTCCGATGCCATCAAGCTACCATTGGCGATGATGGATAGCGATTGAGACGATGGTCTGATGCAAGATTTTGGGCATAGGTGACGGCTCTTCTTGGGGCTTTAAAGTTAGAGATAGAAAGTTAGATTGTAGAGAGAGAAAAAATAAGGACAAAAAAGAGAAAAAAAATTGAATTTTATAGCCGCAACATTTTTGTTTTTTGGTTGTTGGAAACAAAATAAAGTGATCGGACAAGTGACTTACGAAATGTCATGGTAGTCGACGCACGCGCGTATACGTATTTATCGTATGACGTGTCAGCATCGACGAAACCATCTAACTTTAGGTTTTTACTCTAACAGAAGTTGTTAGTCACGTACGGATGCGTGATTAATTTTTGTTAAATTGAGTCAATTTGACAAAAAAAAAGAGATAAATTAATTCAAAAAAAGTAATTCATTGATTTTTGAATTAATTAAAATATTATTAAAACTAATATATTATTAAAATTAATATTTAAAAATTATAAATTTTTATAAAATTTTGTACGTAATATTTTTTAATGAAATAATTAAAAAATTAAAAATAGAGAAGAACTTAAAAAAACCCTCAAATAAAAAAGAAAGTTAATGACTCGTTTTACTTCGTTTAAAGACCAAATTTATCATTATAGAAAAACAAAAAAACGAAGGCAATAAAAATGCCTAACCAAACACATTCTAACCACGAAAAGGTTGAAAGCCCGTACAAAAAAAGCCCAAAACCCTTTCTTCCTTCACCTCCCCGTACCAAACCCTTGGTAAATCCAAACAAAAATTAAAGAAAAGCAAAAATCGTAGATTAAAAAAGAAAAGAAAACACTAACGAAAATTAAAATATAAAAATAAAGAAAAAATAATAATTTATAAATTTATATCATATAAAATAATTAAAATTAATATATTTATATTATATTTTAAATAAAAATTACGAATTATAATTTATATTAATATAAAAATATAAAACATAAAATTTTTATTTTTAAAATTTATAAATAATAATTATTATAATTTTATACTATATTAATTTTATATTTTATTTTAAATTTTATTTATATTATATTATTATATTATATTTTAAATTATCGAAAATAACTTTATCCTAAATTTTAATCTAGATTTTAAGATACTCAAAACGAGTAAAAGGCGTCACTTTGTCACCGACCCTTCATAAATTAAGGCCCCTTGGTTATTTTATTTCTCTTTTTGATAAAATAAAAAAATTTAGTAGATTATCAAAAATTGAATTACAAAATTTAAAGAATTTATTATAGCTAAAATAAAAATTTATTTTATTTTCCTGGGTTCTCTTTTTTCTTCATTGCTCTTTCTCTCTATTTTGCTGCTTCCCTTTGTTCTTTTTTGTGTCTTTCTCTCTAGAATCTCAAGAGAAGTGACATGGCCTCATTTGAACCAAAACAAAAACTATATTGACTCTTCCATTCCAGGTTCGTTTTCACCATTCGATCTGTACGATGTCGTCAGAATCATTTTGATTGTTTTCGTTTATTTATTGTTTCTCTTTTATTTTTTTTCATTTTTTTGGGGTTTGATTTTGATTGGGGTTTTGGGGGTTTTCAATCTGGTGATCTTTATTATTAATTTAGGGGGTTTAATTGGGCTTGCGGTTCAGGCAATTGGGTCTTAATTAGATGCCTTTTTTTTTTTTTTTAATTTGAGTTTTTTGGATTGATTCATAAGATTCTGCTTGGTTCATTTTTGAGCTAGGTTAATGATTTTATTAGGATTTTTTAATTATATTGATTATCGTATTTTAATTTGAGTGATTGCAGCTGCCGAAGTTTGACAGGTTTTTGAATTTTTATATGGTTTGATGTTAATTTTTTGAATTTTGGAAAATTTTGTTATCAATAGGGTTTGAACCCAAAATCGTGTTTGTATCATTTAGTTTTTGGGTAATTTGGGTATTTTTTCTCGTGACGACGGCGGAAATGTTGATATAATTGTAGTTGGAATATTCGGTTTTGGATACTGTGATGAAAACATTGAGTGGAGGGTTTATGACTATATAGCAATGATGTTTCTGATGATTTTACATTTCTATGTGAGGTTTAAGAGTTAATAATTTTGAGTGGTTCCTTATTTGGGTCTTGCGTTGTGTAGCAAGTGGAGCTGAAGGAGTGTGCGGAGGACTTTTGAAGGGGAAAATGGCTGGGGTTGCAAGTGAGGAGTCCGGGGTGGGATGGTCCGTGGAGGGGATTTCAAGTGGGCAGCGTTGCCAATTAGGGGAAGCGTTGGCAGAATGGAGGTCTTCTGAGCAGGTGGAAAATGGAACATCTTCAACCTCACCCCCTTATTGGGACTCTGGGGACGATGATGATGATGGTATGCTTTTGGATCCTTTCATGTTCGGTTGAATGCTCTTTATTCTTTTGAGCATGTGTTTGTATGCCTGTTTATTTTCAACCATAATAAAGTCTATTGAAGCTTTAGGTTGAATCCATTATGTATTAAATCCAGTATAATGTCCGAAAACAATGACTGATTAAAAAGGGCCTGATAAAAAGATTGGCTTGCATTCTGTTTTGGGTAGTCTATTGTGATTTTGCTGTCTACATTATGAAATGTGACTGAGGGGTTCCATGATGTTTAAAATTACTTATAATCATAATTACAATTATTGGATTTGGTTGTTGAAGCGAGTATAATGGAGCCACAATTGTCTTGAGATTATTTAATCATAGATGGTTTTGACTTGTTTCTTGTTGTTTTCCTATGAAGTTATGCTTTTCAAGCTCTAGCTCATTGATTGATGGTTGATTATGGAAGGTTAAGTACTGAAGCCTAGTTCTCATGACACATTCACCTCCTAAGGGATACATTAAGAAAAATATTTCTCTAACCATCCTGTTTCTTTTATCTCCTTTACCCTTACATATGCAAGTTGAGTAGATGGACGAAAAGGAGTGGTTTTTGGAGAATTTTTGCCTCTGGACATGTAAAATTTGAACACTCATGATATCTAGTCAAGCAATCGGTTTTTAGGGCTCAGTAATTATTTATTCCATATTTCTTTGTTTGCTTAAATGTCATCTGTAGTGCCAGAAGGAGTTATTTACTTTAGATTTTTTGTTTTTTAATGTCATCTGGAGTTCTATAAGGTGTTGTTGGCTGGAACCTGTTCCTTCCTGATGCATAATACAACTGGAGAAACATATAACATGAGAAGTGAATAGGCTAGCTTGCTAATATGTGATGGTTGTTCTGAACTATTTGAGTGTACTAAAAGCACAAATTAAGCTGGGCTACAGGGTTAGGGAATATTTCTCGAAGTTTTCTCAGCCAGTACTGTTCTATATTGCCATGTTAAGTATGAACTGGTTAAATATGTTTTTTTCATTCTTCCCTCTTTTTATGATCAAAACTTAAACTGAGTTTATTTCTTTATAATGATGGATAGCCTAGCTTGTTAGTAGATGGTGCTTGCTCTGAACTATTCGAGTGTACAGAAAGTACAAATTAAGCTGGGTAGGGAATACAAGCAAGAAGTTTTCTCTACCAATACTCTTTTTATATTCTTATTTTGAGTATGAAGGGTTTGGAATATGTTCTTGTTATTCTTCCCTTTTTAATGATAGAAACTTCCAAAGCTGAGTTCACTTTTTTATAGGGCCGAAACCTTCTGAATTATATGGGAAATATACATGGAAGATAAAGAAATTTTCACAGATTAACAAAAGAGAACTTCGCAGTAATGCATTTGAAGTTGGTGGCTACAAGTGGTATGGGGCTTAAATATTATTGGCTGTTATGTTTCTACTTTGCTCTGTCAAATTCATACTTTTCATTCTGGAATTCCTATTCTTTCATATCATATTGAAACTATATGTGAAGTATATTTACTTTTACACAAACAGAAAAATCTTTTAAACTGTTCATTTGTTGGTCATAAAGAAACATATCGCCTTTTAGCCGTGCAAATTCATTAGTTTTGATTTCAGCCATTTGCTGTGGTTGACAGGTACATTTTAACTTATCCACAAGGTTGTGATGTTTGCAATCATCTCTCACTGTTTCTATGTGTTGCTAATCACGACAAACTTCTTCCAGGTTTGATGTTATCTGCAATTTCCACTTTGGATTTGTTATCATTAATCTGCTATTATGTTGTTGAACTTATATATGATTCCTTGCTCTATTCTGAGACAGGTTGGAGTCATTTTGCACACTTTACGATAGCTGTTGTGAATAAAGATCCAAAGAAATCAAAATATTCAGGTTGGTTGGCTCAAATTTAGTTTAGTAGTGCTAATAGAGATTATGAACTATGAGCAACTTGCTGTGGTTTGCAGATACTTTACATCGATTCTGGAAGAAAGAGCATGACTGGGGATGGAAAAAGTTTATGGAGCTCTCAAAAGTTTATGATGGGTTTATAGAGTCTGACACGCTAATAATAAAAGCTCAAGTTCAAGTCATCAGGTAATCAGTAATTTATTTATAAGCAAACCTCTGCCTATGGTGCTTCATTCAATGCTTAGACAACTTTTCCTTTCCTAGTGATCTTTATTACGTAGCCTTTATAACCAAGTAAGTTCTTCCAATTTCCTTTGGCTTTTTATATGAGTAGTAGCATTACATATAGACTTTGACTGATGTTCATGCTTATCAACACAACTTTTGCAATCCCAGTTTTCGGCAAATATAAGACTTGGGGTGAAACAGTTGATTGATAATTGTTTCATTTAGCCATTGTATTATATCTTTGATGATGAAGTTGGCTTAGTAATGAGGTCATTATAGTTTAAGAAGGTTCCTTCCATGGAGTTGTTTCCTCATTTTGAAATTATGGCCTTGGTATGTTACAACCAAGTTGATATGTTGTGCTAATTTTTGTTTACCTGATTTAGTTTCTTTCCATCTTGATGAGCAAATTTAATATTTTGATTTGGATTTGTAGGGAGAAAGCAGACCAGCCTTTTCGTTGCCTTGATTGTCAGTATAGGAGAGAACTTGTTAGAGTCTATTTGACAAATGTAGAGCAAATTTGTCGCCGTTTTTCGGATGAGAGACGAAACAAGCTAGGGAAGTTGATAGAGGACAAAGCTATGTGGTCGAGGTAAATGATTTTATACTCTGTACTTTTAATGACTTATTACTAACTTAGAACACTGAATATCAGTTTTAACTGTGTTCAACATATATGTTCAAAGGATATGTTATTTTTTACTATCAGTCTGTAGTTCCTATTACCATTCCCTTATTCTCTGCTTAAATTTTCATCTATTTCCTTATAGCATCAGATTCCTTCTTGCCTTGACCTTACGTATCCAGGGTGGCCTAAATTGTTTTCACCTTAGTGATTTTTCTTAATTTTTTGTGCTTTTAATCCTGATTTGAAAGGCATATATTTGATGATTTTGTTTCTCATTCGGCCATCACCTTTATCTTTTGGTTGCCTTTTTTCTCCAAATAATTGCTTTCAAATTTTGCAGCTTCCGTGCTTTCTGGTTGGGGATTGACCAAAATGCCAGGCGCCGAATGTCCAGGGAGAAAACAGATGTGATTTTGAAAGTAGTTGTGAAGCACTCTTTTATAGAGAAGGAGGTGACATCTACTTTGGTAATGGATTCACTTTATAGTGGGTTGAAGGCTATAGAAGGCCAGAGTAAGGGCAAGAAAGCGAATTCAAAATTATTGGATGCTGAAGAAATGCCAGCTCCAATTGTTCGCGTGGAAAAAGATATGTTTGTGTTAGTGGATGATGTGCTACTACTTCTAGAAAGGGCTGCTTTGGAACCATTACCTCCTAAAGATGAGAAAGGTCCTCAGAACCGAACAAAGGTAAGTTTCTGAATATTGATTATACGTTAAAATGAGTATGAAAACCACATGGGTTTAAGCAAGTATATAGTAATTTGTAAAGTTCCGTTTTAAAATTTTTGTAGGTAGATGAAAACATATTTAGTTGAATTTTTTTACTTCTGTTTCCAATTCATGAGTTATGCATTGGTGTCTATAAGAATAAATGCTTTCTCTTCCCTGGAAGCAAATGCTTTTCCCGTATACTTTGTGGAAAAGTTAATTCAAGCCCCTAGCCTGGCAAATTAATTTTTTTTACAGCAACAATGAACAAAGCTTTTTCCTGTACATGGATTTTTATTTTGGGTATGAAAATGGGGTTTCAGCTTTTTCTTGCTCAGCAAGCCTTTTCATTTTATCTAGGATGGGAATTCTGGAGAAGATTTCAACAAGGATTCAATTGAGCGTGATGAAAGGCGTCTTACAGAATTGGGTCGCAGGACAGTGGAAATGTTTGTTCTCGCTCATATTTTCAGGTATCGTATTTGTTTATTTTTCGGCCAAGAAATACTAGCTTGTTGATTTTCCCCATTACTTATGAAAATACTGGAATGTGTCCTTATAACTAGGACCAGCCTCAAAATATACATGCGTGTATAAATATAGATGATTTATGTGTATGTATGTAACATTTTCTTGTTTCTCCTATCAAGTAATGGACCCAAGGGAGTATTAAGTTTTAACTGTCAATAAGTTGCTCCATTTGGTTCGTGGAAATCTTGAGGGAAAGGAAAGAAAAAACAGTTGTGTTAACACTTGAATTCTTTTTTAATGTACCTCCACATTTTTCTGTGGGAGTTTAAAAGAAACAAATGGAGGATAAATACTTGATGAGAGTTGCTGTATAAGTTAAATGGATCGCTGGGTCCTGTATTTTTTCTAGACATTTTCTTTTTCTTGAAATTGCAAAATTTAAATGATTTTTGATAATAGAAGTCAACTTGTGACAGCAAGACTTTTTTTTTTTTTTTAACTTATTGTGAGGATTTACTGAGCTTGGCATAGAATTTCCTTAACACTGACTAAAAATGTATTCTGGATCCATCAATTATATTTTATCTGTTGCTTTAAAATTTAGTTTAGCATGCAGTTTTTTCTTATAAAATCAATTTAACTAATTTTTTTTCATTGGGACTTGGGATTCTGCATTCTCTTACACGAGGCATCACTATCTCTGCAACACTATCCAGCATGGTGTATGCACTGGCACAGCAATGTTTTCTCTTTTAGTGGGAGAGGGCAATATCTTAGTAAACTTGTTAGCTGAAATTGTACTCTATAGCACATAGGGCATTGTCTTATTTTCTGATCGCTTAATTGCATATAATTAGTTGTTAATGGAGTTAGTCATGATTTTGGGTTCCTTTAGATGACCGTTTTGGTCAGCTTGATGGAAAGATTGGATTCTTAATTTTCACATAGTGTTTAAAACTTATATTCATCAATCTCCATAGGATATTAATGGGATGATACTCACTTGTTTGTACCCATGGATCCCTAATTTTTTGCTTAAATACAGCAACAAAATAGAAGTTGCCTACCAGGAAGCTGTTGCTTTGAAGAGGCAAGAAGAACTCATCCGTGAAGAAGCTGCATGCTTGGCTGAAAGTGAGCAGAAGACTAAACGAGGAGCATCTGAAAAAGAGAAAAAATCAAAGAAAAAACATGTATAATTCCTTTGTTTTTTTTTTTTTCTTGGCATGGTAGAATCTTAGCTTTTCAAATTGTAAACTTTATTTAATCAAATCAGATTGGGTCAAAATTAAGCTTGAATGTAAACTTTATAATAGTCATTACAAATAAAACATGCAAACTCTTTTTAGATGTTTATAATACAATGATTTTTCAAACCTTCTAAATAAGCAAAAAATTACAGATAAAACATTTATATATATGTATATATTCAAGGCTATCACCTCGTCTCCATGATGTTGAAGCCTTAAAGAGAAGGCAAGATAAGCATGAAATGGAGGAACTGAGCAAGGAAAGAGGCGGACGCAAGCATTAGCTCAGCAGCAAGGCAGATTTAAGAGATAAAACAAGATATATGAAAGAAGTAAGGACTATGAATGCCAAGGCAGAAGGAGAGGTAAAGGTCAAAGATTGATGGTGAGAATATGGACTAAGATCTGAGGCTTGGGGGAGACGATGGATAAAGCGAATGAAATCAAGATGAGGAAAATGAAAAATGGGAACAGTGAGACTAGGGTTCCAACAAAAGAAAATTTGGGTTATGGGTATACATATATCATATTTTTTAATTATTTATTTTGTATTAAGTCAGGTATTTCGATTTATTCAGTTTAAGAATTTTTAAAATCGAAAATCGATTGTTTTAACTATTTAAACCGAGATAATAATCAAAATACGCATATAATTCAAATTACTCAACCTAATTCTTTCAAAAAATTCAATTTTTGTTATTTTTTTAGTTTTGACCGAATTTTGCTCAGCTCTATTTCCTAATGAAACCTACATGCAATAGCTTGCCAACCTCATTTTCAATAGCTTTTTACTTTTTTTGAGCAAAAATTCTCTTCTTTTGTTGAACTTATGTCATGTCTAGATTGGTATACAACCTACAGACCATTACTTTGGTATCAATTCTAAGTATGTCATATGGTATCTAAGCAAATAGGTCAGTATTATTTCTCAAGAGCTGGATTAATTGCTCTTTATGTCCAAGTTTAATTCCAATTTGCATATATTTTTCTAAGGTGCTCTCCCAGAATGGTATAAACATAAGGTTTTTTGCTAGTTTAGGTTGATTTTCATCTGCCTCCGATCTTTGATTAATTTTTTCTTTCTGCTTAGTTAGGTCAGGACCATTTCCTATGTGGATTGATTCCATTATGGCAATTAGTATGTTATTAGTAAGTATAATGATGAGTGATGAGAATGTAGAACTAAACAAAATGTATGTATTTTCATTTCTTTTGGCCGGCGTATTAGTTCAGTCTTATTTACATACGAATATTCATGCCAGCTTAAAAGCTTGGCCGCTTTCAGAATCTATTCAAAAGTTACAAAAATTGCTTGAAGTATAGTTTCTGTTGGTGTGGAGCTTAAGAGCTCAGAGTAGTTTAAGAGGATTTTTTTTCAAGTTAATTTTCTGTTGTTGTAGGTGTTTACTATCACTTTTTTGTTTCTCTTCGATCTTTGTTGCTACTTTTAATTTTTTTTTTGTCTTAGCTGAACTGTCAATCGACTTCGCAGTTGTCATTTTCATCAATATGACATAACATTGCCGTGTTGTGGACTTTGTCTCCCCTCACCTCTCCAACCCTATGAGGCATTGAAAACTTTACTTTCAAATGGGAAGCTAAGCCTATGAGCTATATAACAGATTAACTAAGTCGGCCCAATATCATGTTGTAGGCAGATAAGACATTTACGACTATAAATTCTATAACCGATGTAACTATCCTCGACTATGTTCCTAATGAGATAGACAATCTAATAATCCCTCTGACTAGTACCTGTTCATTTCCAAATTCAATTAGTGATAAGTTGTTGATCTTTCTTGATTCTCATTTTTTTTCATGGTGGTGTGGTACATGAAATCGGTTAAGCTTCCATTATCAAATAAGATTCTTTCTAAGTCTTTCAAACGCAATGACATCGGTTCATCTTTTTAGTCCTCTTTCTTTGTCGAAGAACATTTAGCCATGACCATACCCTGGTCAAATTTTCCTTTGACCAAGGTAAAGCTTCCTCCAATGATCACTTTGATTACCTTGACAATTGTTCTATTATTAGTAGTTCAACCCTCATCTTATCTTTACTTATCCTTTTGAACTTTTTATTTCTCGTTTTTCTCTTACCTATTTTCTTTGTCCCTTGTGGGTTCTTTATGGTCTCTTTTATAGTCAAACCTATTTTGTCATCGTCTCCATTAGTCCACGAACCTTTCTAGCTTACCTCTCTTGATCAAAACTTCAATTTCACCTTTTAGATCAACATAGTCTTTGGTGTTGTGGCCTATATCTCTATGAAAGGCACATTTTTTGATCGAATCCTTCCTTGTGTTTTGCCTTAGTGGTTTCGACCATCTAAGCTCTAAATTCCTTTCAATTTGCATCAAAATCCTCTCTTAGGAGGTATTCAGTGTGATATGATTTTTTTCTCAGCTGGAGCTTCTGGCCCGATGTTGTCTTCCTCTTGAAGAAAAATCATAGAAATCTTTGCTTTTTTTTACGATCGAGAAAGGGGATGAGCCCCTTTTATCTCGATTGTTTCTCATTATAGCTTTAGCATTTATATATTTCTCGACCATAAGTAAAACGTCAGCTAGCGTCTTGGGTGGCTTTAAGGATAAGGCCAGCTTCAGGTGGTACTCTCTATCATTGAATCTACTTGTTAGGGCAACTACAATGGCCGTCAGCTCTATGTCTTTCACTCATAGAGCTTTCGCATTAAAACACGTAACATAGTCTTTCAAAGATTTATTTTTGCCTTAATGGATTGACATTAGGCTTAGAATCATTTTCTTTGTTCTTCGACTATTTACAAAGTGGGAGAGAATTAGTGGCTAAGTTTTTTAAATGTTGTAATTGACCTCGACTTAAGACTACTATACCAAGACTGCGCTAAGCCCTTGAGGGTGGTAGCTAAACCCTTACACATTAGAGCTTCATTTGCACTTTTCATCATCATATTAGTTTTATAAAACTTCAAATAGTCAAAAGGGTTAGATGTACCATCATAAGTTTCCAAGGTTGGCATTTTGAATCCCTTTAGAGGTATAGCTCTATCATTCTCTTCCGTGAAGGGCAAGGTCTTCAAGAACTTCAGCTCATCCTCAAAAGCTATTGCTTTCTCTTTTAACTCATTTTTCATAACTTGCATCTGAGCTTTTAAGTCATTACTCAATTAAGGTTTCGGATCGATTTGTTTTGATTTTTGGATTGTTACATGTGTTGTATTGTGGCTAAGGTAATGATGGGTGATCAAGACATCATGTTTTTCTTCCCTAGAAACCGAATAAGTTTCTACTTTTGCGTAGCATGATTCTCTTTCTATAGCTTATCAACCAAGGGTGACCAAATCGAGCACCTTTAAGGTGGGGTCAAAAAAACCGTATCTCTTTTCTCTATAACTCAATGGTCAAACTGTCAACCTACTTCGCAATTCTCCCTTTCATCAATATGACATAACATTGTCGTGTTGTGGGCTTTGTCTTCCCTCACCTCTTCAACCTTACGAGGCATTGAAAACTTTACTTTCAAATGGGAAGCTAAGCCTATGAGCTATATAATGGACTGACTAAGTCGATCTAATATCATGTTGTAGGCAAATAAGATATTTACGACTATAAATTCTATAACCAATGTAACTATCCTCGATTATGTTTCTAATGAGATCAATAATCTAATAATCCCTCTAACTAGACCTATTCATTTCCAAATTCAATCTAGTGATAAGTTGTTACTGGTCATTCTTGATTCTCATTTTTTTCATGATGATGTGGTACATAAAATCGGTTAAGCTTCCATTATCAAATAAGATTCCTTCTAAGTCTTTCAAACTCAATGAGATTGATTCATCTTTTCAGTCCTCTTTCATTTTCGAAGAACATTTAGCTATGATCATACCCTGGTCAAATTTTTGTTTGATCAAGGTAGAGCTTCCTCTAATGATCACATTGATTACCTTGACAATTGGTCTATTATTAGTAGTCAACCCTCATTTTATCTTTACTCATCCTTTTGAACTTTTTATTTCTCATTTTTCTCTGACTTGTTTTCTCTGTCCCTTGTGGGTTCTTTATGGTCTCTTTTATAGTCAAACCTATTTTATCCTCGTCTCCATTAGTCTACGAACCTTTCTAGCCGACCTCTCTTGATCAAAGCTTTAATTTCACCGTTTTGATCAACATAGTCTTTGGTGTTATGGCCTATATCTCTATGAAAGGCACATTTTTTGGTCAAATCCTTCATTGTGTTTTGCCTTAGTGGTTTCGGCCATCTAAGCTCTGAATTCCTTTTAATTTGCATCAAAATCCTCTCTTGGGAGGCATTCAGTGTGATATGATTTTTTTCTCAGCTGGAGCTTCTAGCCCTATGTTGTCTTCCTCTTGAAGAAAAATCATAAAAATTTTTGTTTTTTTTTACGATCAAGAAAGGGGATGAGCCTCTTTTATCTCGATTGTTTCTCATTGTAGCTTTAGCATTTACATATTTCTCGACCATAAGTAAGACGTCAGCTAGCATCTTGGGTGGCTTTAAGGATAAGGTCAGCTTCAGGTGGTACTCTCTGTCATTGAATCCACTTGTTAGGGCAACTATAATGGCCGTCAACTCTATGTCTTTCATTTGTAGAGCTTTTCGCATTAAAACACGTAACATAGTCTTTCAAAGATTTAATTTTGCCTTAATGGATTGACATTAGGCTTAGAATCATTTTCTTTGTTCTTCAACTATATACAAAGTGGGAGAGAATTAGTGGCTAAGTTTTTTAAATGTTGTAATTAACCTCGACTTGAGACTATTATACCAAGACTGAGCTAAGCCCTTGAGGGTGGTAGCCAAACCCTTACACATCAGAGCTTCATTTGCACCTTTCATCATCATATTAGTTTTATAAAACTCTAAATAGTCAAAGGGGTTAGATGTACCATCATAAGTTTCCAAGGTTGGCATTTTCAATCTCTTTAGAGGCATAGCTCTATCATTTTCTACCGTGAAGGGCAAGGTCTTCAAAAACTTCAGCTCATCCTCAAAAGCTATTGCCTTCTCTTTTAACTCATTTTTCATAACTTGCATCTGAGCTTTTAAGTCATTACTCAATTAAGGTTTCGGATCGATTTGTTTTGATTTTTGGATTGTTACGTGTGTTGAATTGTGGCTAAGGTAATGATGGGCGATCAAGACATCATGTTTTTCTTCCCTAGAAATCGAATAAGTTTCTACTTCTTCGTAGCTTGATTGTCTTTCTATAGCTTATCAACCAAGGGTGACCAGATCGAACACCTTTAAGGTGGGGTTATAATTTGTAGCATTTACTTGAGGGCTTATACTCACTTGATTAGGGTCTAAAATTGCTTAATGGTTAAACTAGCCTATTGTGGAGCAGGTCAGTCTGTGTACTGGCTATTATGTCTTTCTGTTTTAGTCAAACCAACCGTCTCTCCTTTCTCTATAGCTCTTTTCCTAGGCGGCATAATTTTATACTCAACTGATGAGTAAAAAGAC